AGATATTTATAAAAAAAAAAAAAAAAAAAAAAAAAAAAAGGATAATTTCCGAAAACACAGCGGCAACAATAAGACATCAGTAGCAGTGTTTTTATTGATAACTAAAACTATTAAAAATCTATTTTTCAAATGAAGCTGAAATATAATAAAATATAAATATTTTGATAAACATTTAAAAAAAATTAAAAACATTTCTTGACAACTAACTGAAATAAATAAGCAGTAATATTACTAAAAACCAATATAGAAATGTATTTTTTTAAAACTTTAAAGAAAATTGAAATGAAAACAGTAAATATAAAAATAAATATTTAAAAAAGCTAATTACAATCATTAATAAATACTATATTAATAAAAAAACCTGAAGAATTAGAATTGTTGCCTTAGCAACTAAATTAAATAAATAAACTTAGGTTAAGGTAGTAAAATGACTAAAACTGAAATTAAATTACAGCCATACAAAAAAAATTTAAATGCTTGATACTAAAACTTCAAATACAATTACACTGAAAATGAAAATATAAAAATGAAACCTAATTCAATATCATTCTAAATACTACATTAATAAATATTTGCTGAAAAATCTGAAATGTTGCCTTGGCAACTAACTAAAATAAATAAGTTTAAGTCGAATTAAAATATTTCTATAAATAAAACTATACAATGTTTATTAAAACTGAAAATATAAAAAATAAAAGCTAATTCTAAATATTATTATAAATACTATAAAAAGTAGGTACGTATTTAACTACCTAAAAAAAAAAAAGTCAAACATATAAAATGATCCGGTTATATAACAGCAGAATGGATTCAAGGAACCAGTGTTTTCTAGTGTGCATTCAGCAAAAGGTACATTTCATTGATAAAATCTTGAACAACAGACCCGAGTGTGTCAGAGTGACACAACTCTGAGGGTGTCATCCTTTGAATTCCAATCATTGCTCTTTACGCAAGTCATTCAAACTTAACCAGAAAGTTACGGCTTGCTTGTTAGATGAGGACTGGAACCTTATAATTTGCATAGCTGTACAAACAAAGACGTAAAAAAACTTGACATCCAGCGGTCAGCAAAAAAGCCCTTTGAGCTGTTATTGCTGGTCAAAATCTGTGTAGGTGTGTTTGTCATCCGAGACGGTTTCTGATGCCGCCAAATTAGCTGACGTAAATACACAGTTTCCTCTTATCAGCAGTAATAACCACACTGACAGGTAGTAAGCAATTAAGAAACATGACCATTAGCCTAATTTAATGAGAGCGAGAAGGAGATACAGAGATGACGCAGTACGCATATTAAAGTTTCTGGTTTCATAGGGTGTTTGAAAGTGAGAAGGAGTCTTTTACACTATATACCGTCAGGTGGAATGGTGCAGGAAATAGTTTTCTACTTCCTTGGCACACAGACACTCAGCTAATATCACAATGCAGAAATAAGCTATATTATGCTTCCTATAGGCTGCCGAATATGAATGCTACATACTCGCACACCATCTTCATTCGGGTAAAACAATGACTATGTCTCAAAATCTAGCAGAATGCCTTTCTAGACTTCATTTTTGGGCATCAGAAATTAAGGGGGTTTTTGCAGCGATGCCATAGAACCATTTTTGGGTTCCTCTAAGAACCTTTAAGTGAACAAATTTCCGAAAGAACCATTTTTTTCTTAGTGTGAAAAACATTTTTATCAGCTGAAGAACCTTTTTTTCCATTATAAAGAACCTTCAAAGTTTCCATGGATGTTAAAATTTCATGACGGAACCGTAGATGCCAATAAAGAACCTTTGTTTTTAGGATACCCCAAAATCTGTCTATAATAACATATATGCCTGAAAATGGTTTTTAACTGGAAAAATTGCTGTTTGAAACCAATTTTGAAAAGCTACAAAAGCATCCAATACTATAAAGAAAAAAAACATATGCCAAATATTATATTTATATTTAAACTTTAGATTAAAGAATAAACAAGTTTTAAACGTAAAAAATCTGGCTCTCACATACTTTAACCAAAGAGCAAATGTAAACAATGTTAAAAAAAAAAAAAAGAAAGGGAAAAGTAAGTGTAAACACAGTCGTTACCTTTAGGTGCTATTGTACCTGATTTGACCCTTAAAATGGACTTTTGTTGGTGTAACCTAAACAAATAATATTTTTAACTAGTAAAGATGCCTGAAACGTATACATGATACAAGTGACTTTTTCTACACTGTAAAAAATGACCGTGAATTGTATATTAACATTATATCAGTTAATGAAATTACGGTATTTAACTGTAAATTTAAGTTAAAACTGTAAAACCTCAAATGTTGCTACCGTATTTTTTACGGTAAAATTCCGGCAACCACAGCTGCCGGTTTTTTACCGTTCATTTTACGGAAATTTTTTTTACAGTGTAGGCTGTGTTTTAAAACTTAGTGAGCTGCCTACCTAGACAGCATTATCATAAAAAGATTTATTTTAAGGCCTATAAACTCACAGTTTACTGCACCAGCACCTGTGTACACAGAAAGTAACATCCTAACTGAAAGGGAACATCTAGGTAGGCGGCACAATACTGGTTTGAGACACAGCCCCTACTGTACAGTCCAGATACAGTCAGCCCTTATCCACAGTACAAACTATGTCTACATGCGCCCTAGATCAAAGGGCCGCTGCTCTATTGAAGTCAATGCAGTGCTGTTGTCACAAGTCTTACACACCTTGTCTCCACAATCATATTTCTAGTGACTATAGGCACCGTTCATTGATCCGGTTGACCCTTTCAACCTTGGGTCTCAACCCTATCCAGTGCCAGTCCTGAAGTCATATGAATTATGTAGCGTTTGCTACCCTAGACAGTCTCAAGCTTTAACCCAAAACTCCCTCAGACAGACAGCACGTGGATGGGTTAATAATAAGTAATGAAGAGGGATCTTTCATTACCTCAATGACTCTCCAAAACAGACATGACCTTGTGCTGTTCCTGGGCGAAATGAATAAATAAATCCATGCAAACAAACTCAAAAAAAAAGAAAAGGGGACACAGACATATGGAGTTTAACAGCGTGCACTCTACCGTTTCTCTCCAATGCGCAAAAGAGGTTGAAAGGTTTGCGTTTCCAAACTGGCGAACGTGATACGCGCGCGCTCTATCACAGTAAAGACAATACCCGCCGCTCGCGTGCGCCATTAAAATTTCACTCAGGAACAACTTTGCCAGTGCATAAAAACTCGTGGGGAACAATCACGAGGTAGTTCTTATTTTCTTCACCCTGAAATCACGCGTGGATAAAACACCCTTTATGTTAAACGACTCAAGTGTACCGACTTGGACTTGATTTGCTGTTGGCACGACTCATAATGTCATAATCTACAAGCATCTACACTTAATTTTACTACAATTATATTATGAATATAAAAAAAAATAATAATAAACGTTTAGCATTTGTTTGATTTTTTATTTATTTATAGCCTATTTGTTTTTATATTTTAAATTTGTTAAATATTTAAAATAACGTCAACACAGTAATCTTAAAAGATTATATTCAATTTAATATACATTTAAAAAACGTAAACTTCACAATAATCATTGTGAAGTTTAAAATATTATATTCAATTTAAGATAAGTTTAAAATGCCAATGCTATTCAACAGAAGCACCCACATAAGTTTTCCATCAACGACACTGTAATTGTTCCCGTTTGCACTCTTAATCAAACGTCGCCATTAACAACGCGTCAAACCACATTAGTAACGTTATATTGACCTGTATATAGTTCGGTATACTCATTAAAAAGACGTATTAACTGTGCGAAAACGAGAGATGTTTTCAGATTCATCTGGCTGAGGATGGTCGAAGGGTGTTCCTAAAACGTGGCGTTGACACTCAACGAAAACTCTTACATGTTCAAAACTACAAAGTTTTGTGTTTAAATAGGCCTACAAGGTGAAAGAAACGTATTTTAGAGCACTTACCCTAAAATGGGGACAGCACGGATTGACAGTTCGCAGCAGCTGCAGGTAAACCTCTTTTTTTCCCTTTCCCTTTTCTTTCCTACCTCAAAAGAAAAGAAAAAAAAAAACTTGTCAGACTCGAACCGCTGCCGAATCTCTTCCGTGATTTTTTTTTCGTTAACGTTTTTTTTTTTTTTGCCCCTGACTCTGACAAATGAAAGGGCGTGTACCTGGAGGAGGGGAACTTATTTGGCTACTTTAAATAGGACATTTGAGTTTTGACATAATTAAAAATAAGACATTTCTAATGTTTTCTACTGCTGTAAAAACAACAGTATGATTTCTGGTAGTTTCACGCCAGAAATCCCACTGGGAATCATGGCAGTGGACGGTGAGTTTTGTCTGGGGCTTTAGTGGGAAGTACGAAAACTTTAACCCTTACCTGCACAATGTTTGCACGAGTGTCAGAAATTAACCAGGCCTCTGGGCAAAATTGTTTTACCGGTTACAATATTGTATATATTTTAAAGCATTACAGTCGTATAAAGTGATATATTTAGTGCCTCTGAAACATAGTAGGTGGTTTCTAGCTGGTAGCTAAAAAATAAAATAAATTAACCCCCACACAGAGAGAGAGAGAGAGAGGTTAGCTGGATACAAATCTTCCATAATGGGAAAGAGATAGAGGCGACCAATTTCTTTCGTTTTCTAAAACTACACTGATTGTGTTTTGATATTGCTTTTGAATTTTTATTAATCAATTAAAGTGTGTGTCATAAAAATGACACTTTACATGTTTATGTATGGTTAGAAAATAAGTCTGAAAATGAATTCCGGGAGGCAAATAATAGCCCCTCATAAATTGAAAAAGTCAAATTCTGACACTGGTATGCACTAAACATGCAATATTGAGACAGTGCTTCATTTATTTATTTTTTTAATGCCCCAGGAATTAATTTTAGTCAGAATTCTTGCTAACAAGAATGCATTGTATTGCGATAAATATTCAGACAGCCTTTAACAGGCCTCAGGGGAGACATATAGGCTAATGAATCATATCCCAGTGCCCTCTTTACTATGATTATCTGTGTTTACAAGAGGCACCGCCTATGTAAAGTTGTTTGTATTGACTGGCCTCACTTTGTGTGGACTATGGTCATGCCTCACAGCTCTGATAATGCTACAAAGTTCACCTATGACTTGTCTTCAATATATTTTTCTTAAATATTTATTAAAAAATATTAATATATTTTCTTAAAACCTTAAATATATTTTTGTTTTTGTTAAAAATGTTTTTGTAGGCACCCCACAGGAACTGTGACCGGTTCAGCAAGGTTGAAACTCTCAGACCCGTTGCCACCTCATCAAACCAATATGATGGGTTTAAAATTAAAATCTCAATGCATCTTTTCAGGTGATTGAACATCAATAACCAATGTTCTTCAGGCAATTCAAAATTCTTCTGAATTTTTGTGTTCAGTTTAATATATTTGCACTTGCAAATAAGATCTAAATCTCCCTTATTATCCAAGAGACCAACTCCCTTCCCCCAAGCCACACCTGTAAGCAAGGCAACTGGTGGCACCTACTTCATATTGTGTGGGAGATTGAATATGTCAATAAGGATGTCTCGTAACTGACTGCTGTCCGGAGCCGAAATTGTTAATGTCTAAAACTAAGCCGCTGTGCAATCGGATAGTCGATGGCCTCAGGGTGGTGTTGGGTTACCATAAAATGATGCTATTAAATCAGATGCGTTGTTTTGTCTACACAAAAGAATGGGAGAGATTGAGGAGAGTGTGCAGAGAGTCTTATACGACATGCTCAATAAAGAGGCAAGGCAAGATTACCTAGAGAATAAAACAACTCTTTCTTTTATTTGCCGTCACCTGCTTTGGACAATCATTAACTGCGCAATGTTATAATTACATAAAGTCACAAGGTAAAATTAAAGTGATTTTCTTCAAGTTGACTAATACTTCAGGTTTCTTTATTGGCTAAAGCCGCCATGTTGGCTCGCCACACTGCCAATCAGCTGCCAGAACTCCAGGAACGTCAGCTCTCCGTCGTTATTCTCGTCCAATGAGTTCATGAGCTGATCAATGGTGGCCGGGTCAGAGGCATTCTGTGGGAGAGGACAAGATGGACAGGCATTTATACGCACTTGCAATGATAGCGTCTCCATCTAGTGGTTGTCAGTGGTACTGCGCATTCTTTTCTGCTGACCTATTAGTTTAGGGGGGAGTTCCTGTTCTGGATGGGCCAAACAGAAAATGCTCTGATGTGGCATTTTTCTATTGTATCCAGCTTTAGTAATCTGGTTTGGATGTAAACATGCTGATTAACAAAACAACAAATTCCTTGTGTGTTTGCACACCTGGCGAATAAAGCTAATTCTGATTCTGAAAGCAGCCAGTTTGTTTTCATACTCACTAGCAGTATAAGGTCTGTCTCTGACTTGAGAGTTGTAGCATAGGAAGGATTTGTGTAATTTCCTCTACAAAATCACAAACACGTGACTCACAAGAAATTCTTTAGAGGACTGGGATGTGGTTAACTAATAACTTGCACCAGACCTCTGAAATGGTGCTCTTATCCTTTTGGATTCATTCTTCTCAGAAAACAGAATAGCCTACTAAACAAACACTGTAAATAAGGCCATTATTTATTAAAATGATCTTTCATTTCATTATTTAAATAATGTGATTATAGGTCACAGATGTAAAACAAATGTAAAAGAATTCTATAAAACGATTCTTTAGTAAAATTCAGCATTCTTACTCATTTTGGTTCATTTTTTTCAGAACACATACTAATTAAGCACTGGAATGAAGACCATTATTTATTTTTTAAACAATCTTCAATTTCATTTTCTAAATATTGTGATTAAAGGTCACAGATTAAAAAAAAAAAAAAAAATTTATATTCTACAGTAAATTCTATAATAAAGTTTAGCATGCTGTAGAAGATAACCATTTACTGTAGCTATAAGCTCCTAAAAATAGAGGTTCTTCGCAGGACCTGAGAGTCAGCAGACACTCCTCTTCTTATTAAGAACCATTTTGAGTTGGTTTTATGGTTCTGTGGGGATTAAAAAAAAAAAAAAGTTCTTAACATTACATTATAGTTTTTTAAGATTCCGTATTCTTTAAAGCAGATGATTTTCTAAACAACTAAATGGGTTCTAAATGGACCTTTATATTTAAGTACGTAGACCTGAATTGTGGAATATAGATATGAAGTGGACAAACCATACTGTATTAACTCAAAAGGCTTACCTTTACAAAGTTTGGGAGCTGGGAAGTGACCAGGCTCTGAAACTCATCTTTGCTCAGAGTGTTCGCAGAGCCATCTTTCCCTGCGTAAGTCTTGAACTGGGAGACGAGCACGTTAATGGCAGATTCCATGACTTTGGGAGTGGGATAGTTAGGTGGCTAGAAAACAAAAAAGTAATTGACGTTAGTCCTTTTTAGTAGTCAAATATCCATTTTGGGGTATAAAAGTATTTCACTCAGAAATGAAGATTCTGAACCATTTACTTATAATCATCATACTCCAAATCCATGACTTAGAGCTATTTAACAGAATGTCTAAGCTTCTTTCGCGTTAAATATCGCATGCGATTAATCGTGCAGCCCTACATGTGATCACCATTTACTGTCATTGTATGGAAAAAAAAAAACAGGTAATTTTTTGTTAGATGCCAAAAAGATGAACAACAGGGTAAGTAAATAATGACAGAATATTCATTTTTGGCTGAACCAACAGTTTAAGGGCAAAAGGGTACATACAATGCAAACCAAAAATGAGATCCAATAGATAACAGAATAAAGTCATGTGCTTACCTGAGCAAAGGAATGATGTTCTGACTGGAGTGGTGTGTGTAAATGACCACATCTCACCTTATATTATCTTCATCTGACGGTCAAACTCAGCGGAAAACCAAAATCACACCCACTGCTCCATTTCACAAGTCAGGATGTTCTTATCTCCTGCTTCAATGTTTCCATAGCAAGGTAGTTTAGGCTCTCTTTCACACACACACACAATGCATTTATAGTAATCCAGAGGACAAAATATGCAGTATATTCGACAGATTAATGGCATAAACGCCACATTGTGGTTTTCGGTACTGAGAAAATGTACCATTTATATTTGTTTGTGATTATTTCAAAGCATAACCTAACACATGAAGGTTGATTAATCTACACCTATCAGGTTTCCTAAATGTTGTCAATCCAAACATCTGTCATCAGGAAAACTTCATCTGATAACGCTGTCAAAACGTACTCAGCATCAACTGACATGCTGGAATAAATACAAAGACCTCACTAATATGTCTCCTACAGATCACTTTTAGAGGTCAGAACTGAATGTGCTTTTATAGAGAATACGAAACAAAAATTGTCAAGGTATTGAATAAATGAGACTAGACATCCTCAAGGAATCACCCATTTCTGTTGTATGTGTCAGTTGTAAAATAAATCTCAATAAAGAGTAATTCTCATGGCAATGGTACATAATTTTAATAATCATCAAAAATTGTTCATATTGATACATTGTGGCATTTGGTCTTGTATTACCTTTCTTTTGAAATGGCAATATTAAATTGTCTTTCATATTAAATATCATTGTGCCATATTATAACTTAAACTATGAATTCCATTAAATAACTTTTCTTTGTATTTACAAATTAGACAAGAAAAGGGCTAAATTCAATAGTTTTCATCCCAAAAGAGTGCAACAAAACAATAGCACAGCTGTAATCAAATGATCTTGATGATTCACTACAATGGCTGTTTTCCTAAGATAGAAAGAGGGTATAAATAAATGTCCACATCACCACAGTGCAAACAAAACCATTACTGAAACTTTCTCTATTTTCATTCAATGTGGTTTTGAGTTGATTTCAGTACTAGCATTCTGTGCTCACTAGTAAAGGCACATAAGATAACATCAAATTCCTAAAGAAAAAAAAAACACATTCAAAGATTTTACTTTTTTGTACTTTACATTAAGCGTGAACAGAACTTGGGGTAGTTGGGGTAGAAACCGAAAAAAAAATTAACGTTTACAATGACCTCTAAAACCTCTGGTGATAACAAAACTTAAAAAGAAACCAGTTTGACACCAGCTTAGTAAGCAAAATCATGGGGTAGGTGCAAAGAAACCAGGATTTTAATAATAAAAATTAAATTAAAAAAATCTGCTTAAAAGTTCTGACATTCTACACCATTTTTTTAAAGTACATTTTGGGCATTCAGACAACTATAAAGGGACATTCTCCACCAATCTCATTGCACTTATCCAGTTTAGTGTTAATCTCGTTCACAACTCCTTATGTACTAGGTGATCTACAAGTGAAGCAGTTTCACTCATGTGGCAACACTTAATAAGATGACTGACACTTTACACAGCAAGCAAGAGTCAAAGGGTTTGGCGTTGAAGAACAGGACTAACGGAGGTAGCTTACAACAAAACACCCAACGCACATGTGGGACTTCACTAATGACAAGACTCCAAAGGGAGAAACTCCTCACACACAAGGCATTAAACTACATCTACAGTCTGTAAAGACTGGGCAAAGTAACCGGTAAGATCAGGAGTGTCAAACTCAGTTCCTGGAGGGCCGCAGCCCTGTAGAGTTTAGTTCCAACCCTGCTCCAACATACCATATAGTTTTCAAATAAGTCTAAGGGCCTGTTTACACCTGGTCACTTCATGCGTTTTTTTCTGATCGGATAGCTATCCTATCGTGAAAAGGCCAGGTGTAAATGCCCTCCGAAACGCATTCAAAACAGATATAAATCCGATCGCTCAAACCACTTCAGGAGGTGGTCTGGGCCGCATTCCAGACGAAACTGGACAAGTGTAAATGCATCTGGTTGTTGAAACCACATATGTAAATTTTACTCCTCCCAAAAATGTTAAAATAACAAACGTGTGAGAGCGTGTTATAGGCTATATGACATTATAGTCAGATATGACAGCGCTAATGCAACACGCATTGCCGCGGATCAGTAGCTGAACATCTCTTCAGCAAGCCGACGAGCAAACTGCCGCGAATGAAACTGAAAATAAGTCGCAACACATAATCATCTTCATTAAAAGTAGTGTGACTAACCTATTTTTCCAGTTCTGATGCCGCGCGCTCTCCTATTGCGGGCTTTGATCTTGCAGCGCTTATCTTTTGATTTCATTGACGTGAACTCCATTAAATTTAAATATAGCGCGGGAATTGAAGATCGGATTTATATCCGTTTTGCTACGATACATTTATGTGGCCAAGTGTAAATGGAAACGTTTGAACAAATCAGATAGGTATCCGATCAGCGAAAACGCATGAAATGACCAGGTGTAAACAGGCCCTAAAGGACCTGATTAGCTGGATCAGGTGTGTTTAATTAGGGTTGGAGCTAAACTCTGCAGGGCTGCGGCCCTCTGGGAATTGAGTTTGACACCCCTGAGTAAGATTGTTTCTTTTTACTTTCCTTCACTTGGTGTTTTTCTCCATCCAGTCAACCGAGTTTCTGTGGTGGGAGGCAGCACCAATTATGCCAAAGGGACGGTAAACTGTAGCAGAGCCTCTTTCTCAAACTCCTCCATCTCTTCTTCGAGGGAATCACTGTCATGCTGTTTGTCTTCTAAACCATCTGCCAGATCTTCCAGGATATCTGCAACATCCTCGGCAAACTCGCTGAAGAGCATTCTGTCGTGGGCAAAAACACCGCCGCTGAAGAACTGAGCAGTGAGGCGGCTGAGAGACCCCTTGCTTTCCTGTGGAACACCATCTAGTTTGCTTAGGTAGACCTCAAGAAGGTCCTGAAACTCTACAAGCTTTACTGGAACAAGTCCCTCTGCATCAGCGCAGTTGGATATGCCATGGCAGCCTTCGGCAGGACGGCGGTTCCTCCTTAGCTTCTCTTCTTGGTGTTTCCAGAAGTCTACCTGCTCATGGTGGTGATGATGATGATGGTGGTGGTGATGATGCTTGGAAGGTTTGGCCTCCCAAGGTCTTTCCTTTTGTCTCCTTTCTCTCTCTTGCCTTCTCTCATCCTTCTTGTGGTCCCACTCTTCTTTGTACTTCTTGAGATGGTCTTTCTGTTTGTCCTTACCATGCTTCCACTCCTTTCCCCTTTCCACCTCGTCCTTCTTCCAGCGACTGTCGTGTTCTTTCTTTCTGCCCCATTCCTTCTTTTCTCCTTTGTGCTCTTGGTGTTTCCTCTTCCACTCTTCCCGCTTGCCCAGCTGATCCACCTGTTTCTCGAGTCTCTTCTGTATTTCCATCAAGCTCTCCCTCAAACCCTGCTTGTTCCAGCCCTGTTTCTTCATTCCCTCCAGCCTCTTCCGGCTTTCCTCCAAAAGAGTTTTCTGACGCTTGAGTTCGTCTTTTTTATCCCAGTGTTTCTCAGTTCCTTCTGGACTAGACTCACCAGTGGAAGGCGGGCCAGAGTCGGGGAGCTGTTGTGGAAGATCTTGAACTGAAGGAGAAAAAGAAATAGTAGAATACACTGCACATATATTATTCCACATTTCAACTTTCAACTGATGTAGGGTTGTAAAAAAAAAAAAAAAAAAGGTTTAATTATAAAAATTCCATATCTTGTCTAAATAAAACTGTAAATCTACACTCTAAAAAATGCTGGGTAAAATAGGGACAAACCCAGCAATTGAGTTGTTTTGACCCAGCGGTTGGGTTACTACCCAGAAGGTTGGGTTAAACATTTAACCCAACCGCTGGCTCAAAACAGCCCAATTGCTGGGTTTGTCCCTATTTTACCCAGCACTGGGTTGTATTTAACCCAGCATTTTTTAGTGTAATATTTGACTTTTACTACAAGTGAATTCAGGCAGCACAATATTATAATGTGCAGTGAGAAAACAGGGGATATATGATAAAAGGCACTTATTTTGAAATTTGCTAAAAATCACATTCAGAATTTTTATTAAATGATTAGTGTTTTATAGATAAACTTCCAGTCAGGGTTATATGACAGAAAGGTAATCTAAATGTAAAAATAAAAGCCATTAGCAATCACAATTAAATATCCAAAATTGACAGATACCAATAAAATAAATAAAAAAAACTCTAATATCAGCTGATTACCAATTCATAGGTTAGTTAATTAGTAATGTTTATTGTGTGTATAAATATACACTACCTTTCAAAAAAAATTGTGATTGGCGAGATTGTTTTTTAAATGTTTTTGAAAAAAAATCTCTTCTGCTCACCAGGGCTGCATTTATTTTATCACAGTAAAAGCAGTAATATATTTTATAACATTATTACAAATCAAAATAACTGTTTTCTATGTAAAAAATGTATGAATGTATTTATTCCTGTGTTGTCAAAGCTGAATTTTCAGCATCATTACTCCAGTATTCAGCTTCACATGATCCTTCAGAAATCATTCTAATATGCTGATCTGGTGCTCAGGAAACATTTTTATTATTATCAGTGCTGAAATCAGCTTCACATTTTTGTGATATTTTTGTAAAACCATGATACATTTTTCAGGATTCTTTGATTAATATAAAGTTCAAAAGAAAAGCATTTATTTGAAATGTAAATAATTAGTAACATTATAGATGTCTTTAGTGTCTCTTTAGTGTCCTTGCTGAATAGAAGCATTCATTTACTTTTGAAATATATTTTACTGACCACAAACTTTTGAACGGTAGGGTAAAAGCTAACAAACTCATTCTCATCTTGTTCAGTCTTTTGGCTGTTAAATGTACACAGCCTATCCAAATACATCCAAATTTAGATGCTGAGTTTTAAAATTCAAATACTGTTCATGTGCCATTCCCACTCTCTCATCATACCGGTAAGCTTTGTGAGCTCAGCAACTCTTGCTCTCAGCGTCTGTAGTTCTTCTTTTAAACCAGGCAGATCAGACAGTTGTTCTTTCAATTTAGTGTTCTCATTTTCCAGAGCTTCCTTCTCAGTGCTATGCATATCCGCCGCCATTTTCAGAGCCCGGTCCAACTCTTCTTTCTGTGACTGATCAATGACAAAGACCATATCCTAAGAGTTCAACATCTGAAAATAATTTGCTGAAATGCGCTATAGACATTGCAACAAGGCCATTTAATGGGAAAGCTGCATTCACATAGAAAAAGAAGCAAGTTTTCACTATTAATGCAATGAGATTTCCTTATGTCATATGGTCAAAGTTAGAGAATAGAGGAACTGTGGACTAACCTCAATCTGAGCCTCGAATATATTTATTTGTTTATTCTCTTGAGCAAGTTTATCAAGAAGCTCCTAGAAACAGAGACACAAGTCAGAGGAGAAATCAACTTGTACATGTCAATAATGAAACAGAGCAAAGACAAAAAATAAAGCAATGCACAAACCTGGTCACTTAATTCTGTACCATCAAAATCATCTGCGGGAGAGAAAATAGATTTGTAATGTTCTCTGAGATTTCACAGACAAGATGAAGTGAATTACAAAACTGTTAGTGTCAAAAACTGTAAAAAGTAAAAAAGATAAAAAGTAAAAGTCTGTGTAGTTTATGCAACAGCAGTCACACAGTTCTGGAGTTAGGTTGTTTTTCACAGGCATGTTTTGTCTGGATATATGAACCAGGTCTTTCTGTACCACACTGAAAAGTTTGGGGTCAGTAAGAAATTAAGAAAGAAATTAATAAATGTATTGTGCAAGGATGCATTCATTAATTAAAAGTGATCATAAAGGGGTTTATAATGTTACAAAAGATTTCTACTTCAAATGCTGATCTTTTTACATTTCTATTCATCAAACAATTCAGATTTTTTAATCACAAAAATATAAAGCAGCACAACTGTTTAACAATGACAATAATAAGAAATGTTTCTTAAACACCAAATTAGCATATCAGATCATTTCTGAAGGATCATGTGACTCCGAAGACTGGAGTAATGACGCTGAAAATTCAGCTTTGCCATCACAGGAATACATGTTTAAATATTAAAATAGACTATTTTTAATTATAATAATATTTAAACTATTAAATAATAATAATATTTTACAATATTACTGTATTTTTCATCAAATAAGCACTTTAACATTAATAAACACTAAACATCTTTAAAAGAAAAATGAAAAAAATCTTAATGACACCAAACTTTATTTTATTTTTACACAAAAACCTAAATTAGTTACCTTTTGATTTAGTAACCCTGGCATTCTCTACAAAAACGTCAGCTGAATCTCAGCATTAAGCCATTTCAGGGTGAGGCAGCCACTACTGAAACTAAACAACTAAAAAAAGATGAAGTGTGTAATTTCTTGTCCCAAGTGACACCAAACTGCAGTCTGTTTGTTTGAGTGGCCTGAACAAAAGTGTAAGTTTGGGAAGCTCCCTGCATGTTTGAGCACTGGAAGAGTGTTTGACAAAATGTGGCCCAGAAATGATACACTTCAACTTTAAAAGGGAAATGTAGAAGCAACCAGCTGATAAGCCCCTTGGTAAAGCAGTGCATCCGCAGTGATGATTCAGGCTGATGATAGAGGCTGCCCTCAGGTAATTGTACTTTTTTTTTCCACTCATTTGTTAATGTTTGAATATATGATGTGAACAAACTCTACCATCGGCACTGGAGGGCAACTCCTATCTACAGCTCAAACACAAGCATATACTGCCACCTAGCTCAAACTATGAACCTACCATCAGACAGGTCAACCACAGAACCTGGAGACATAACAACATGAATGCAACCACTGAAAATGGGAAATTAATGGACTTTCTCATGTATAATGAGGCATGTACTCATAACCATCGGCTAAATATGAATTATGCACAACCGATGTTATGTGTGATGTCAAATGACATCTGTTTTATAGGACCAATTACAGAATGTGATTTAGATTTGTGACTTTTTAGATTCGTATCAATGTCACAAAACAACTCACCTGAGAAAAAGAATGATCCAACACAGAGCAGGACCAAAGCTCCCACGATCAGCTGATTCATAGAGAAACCTCGTTTCTCCTCTTTCCTCACTGGCAGGTTGAATTCCTCCTCTTCCTCTTCCTCTTCCTCCTCGTCTGAGCTTCGCTTCAGCAGTATGGTAGGTTGCACATGTCGGAGCCTCAGACCATCATCTTCTGCTGAGGTGCCCGCTGGAAGTTCAGCACCAAGAGATTCTGAACATTATAGAAAAAATAAGGAGAAAGGACATAAGCAGAAATATGGTAAAACTGGATAGAAATAAGTAATGGTGGAAGAAAAAAACTCTAGAACATGTTTAATATATTAAAACTCTGTAACATTTACTCAAATTCAGTAAAATTCATTACTGAAAAATAAAGCTAAATAATAATACATTATATATTACAAATACATTAAATATATTTAAATAAATATTTATATAATTTATTTTCAATACATGTATAGTTAGAATTGTTACATTTTTATATATATATATATATATACAGTATATAAATTTAATATAATATCATATTTATAATGATATATTATCTATATCTATGTCTATATATACACACACACACTAATTATAATAGAGACATGCTCACACAAAAACAAACAGTAAAACAAAACATTTTATACTAATACAAATTTTATACAATATATCATTATATGTGTATATTTATTTAGTAATACATTTATTATTTGTTAATAATATTTATTTAAAATACATACTCTGGGTTGTTTTACTTGCACACACAAACATACTGTGTGTGTGTGTGTATACATATAAAACAACAACGGCTAAATATAATGAAAATAAATTTATAAGCTGAAAAGATTTTCTTGAACATATAATACTTAATAAACCTTTTTTGAACATCAAACCTGGCTCTCTGATAACATCTGGGAATTTCTCTGGCAGCTCTATGTCTTCTTTCTCAAAAGTAGCCTCCTCCTCAGTTTCAACTGAACCAATGGTTTCAGGGTAAGGGCTGTCAGGGGCGGGGCTTTCTTTTGTGGAACCAAATCCTGTATCAGTCTCGGAGGGCGGGGCCAGAGGCGGGGTTTCAGGTGCAGGATGGACATCAGCATGAATATCAAGCACAGGGACTGCAGAAGAATCACTGATTTCAGGGATGGGGCTCACAGGGACATCTGGAGAAGAGCTCATTTCTCTGAATGGTTCGGGAGTGGAGGTGATTTTGGGTTCTGGTTCAGGGGCGGGGCTTTCTTGGACTGGAACATGCTGGCCAGGGAAGATATCAGCAACGTCCTCTTCGGTGGGTTCATCAAGGACCGACTGCTCTGAAAACTGAAAGGCTGATTCTGTAGCGATGCTGAAGGGAACAGCACCCAGAAGGTCACTGTCAGGGGGAGAACTGGCGATTGTGTCATGGATGACAGGAGCATGGATCTCAGGATCAAGCTCAACATCGGTATGACCAGACGCTGCCACTTCCTCAAAGAAATCTGGAGATGTTTCCTGGCAAATCTGGATATCGGACAACATACAGTTGTTAGTCTTTTAGGAAGGAGACAGTTTGGCATTAAGTATCAAGAAAAAGTCAATCTGAACTTCACATTCAGATGACAGGCACCACTTTTAGTAGGATTAGTAGATAAACAGAAAAAAAGAGGTTTAAAATCAGATTAAAATCTTTACATAGATATTGTAGTTAGAAATCTGATCCAGTTTTAAATTCTTTTTGTTTTTTTGACATGCATGAATGGACATCTGAACAAACGAAACAGACTTAATCGCTTTCAAAATGGCAAAATTTAGATTCAGGTTGAATTTAAAGACCAAGTCATACTTGTGCACAATGTGAACAAAGTATACAAAACAAATACTGTGATATAGAATGATAACTGAGCATCATGCGCTTTACATACCGGTGGTGATGCACTGACCTGGTGACCCTCCTCTGACAAAACAGTCTCCACCATTGGCGTTTCGGGGTCATGTGACCTCACCTCCAAAGAGCTTCCTGAAATAGACACAGTTTCACATTACAAAATCTACAAATTGGTGTTACAACTATAGAGATAATGTGGCTTCGTTCAACAGATCCTATAAGCAGCACATTAATATACACTACAGTTCAAAAGTTTTGGGTTCGTACAATTTTTTTAAGTTTTTATGTCTTTTATGCTCACCATGGCTGTATTTCTTTGACCAGTAAAACAGTAATATTGTGAAATATTAATACAACATAAAAATAACTATTTCCAATTTTAATATTTTTTATAATATTATTTTTTCTTGTGATGTCAAAGCTGAATTTTCAGCAGTCATTACTCCAGTCTTCAATGTCACATGATCCTTCAGAAATAATTATAATATGTTGATTTGGTGCTCAAGAGAGAATTCTTATTAATTGTGCTGCTTTTTATTTTTGTGAAAACCATGACACTTTTTTCAGAATTCTTTGATAAATAGAAAGTTCAAATGAACAATATTTATGTGAAATTGATTTTCAAATAAATATTTAATCTTTAAAGTCACTTTTGGTCAATTTAATGTGTCCTAGCTGGATAAAAATATTAATTTCTTTTAAAAAAATCTTAATGACCCCACATTTTTGAACAATAGTGCAAAGTCTGCAAACAAAAATTTATTTTACTTTTTCTCCCAATTCCCAAAATAATACTGATCCTTACTACTAATTAAAAAGTAGCATTAAGGAGCAATTAGGTTTATAACCTGCTATTTCCTCAGAAAGACTGGGTGCATCTCCAATACTCTCCGTCCCATCATCCACTGGTGCAGTAGGGTCCGCAGCAGCCTCCTAAAAATCAAAAGTGCACATCACTACATCTGATTCATTCATACAAATCAGACAATATCACTAACACAAGCATTTTGATAATATGTTTTGCAAACCTCCGGAGAGAGCAGAGTCCAGCTATTACTGGATGACCCAGTGCTGCCGGTGCTGTTATCAGACATGGCCCTCTTGTGGCTCTGCACAGCACCTACATAATGAAGATAACCACAAGCAGAAAGATTGATTTATTACCATTATCTACTGCTCTGCACAGGCCATCACATTCAGCAGAATGAGTGATAGCATACATTAATATTGTTGCAAGTATTGCACTGATTTCCTAATTCCACCTACACTCTGCAGACAGTAATGTACAACTGATTGTACTGATTTTGATTTTTGACCGCAATAACGCAGTCAACACATCCTATAACTATAATATATTTACACTTTGAAATTAACCAGAGATGATCAATTACCACAAATATGCCATTTTAGTGGATTGTCTTTTTGTTACATCTAATGACACTGCATTATCAATATTCCCTAAAACCGCCCGTCTTCAGAGACTCATAACTCAATTATTCATATTGATTAAAACATATATTCAATTAAAGAAATACATAAATAAGAATCTCTCAAAGAAACATTACTACTATATCCTGACAGGAATTGTCTAAGGTTTCAAAACTTTGTCTCTGTTGCAAGCAAAGTGTTGCAAGCAACATTTGAAACATTTAAAACACAAAATGACTACTAAAGGCTATTTTAATAAATGTGTGATGTGCAAAAATTCATTTAGTCAACGTTGTAAGATTTTCCATCTTACTGTGGTAACAATATATGTAGTTGAGCTATAGTCTCAGTTCATTCATTCATTCAAGCTAATGCTAGATTTGTCAGTATTTATATTACATATATGACACAATGTGTTTGTATCTGACATGATGACACAGTGACAGGCAAGGAAAAACACATTTTGTGTGAAAATGGAGGATGCCTAAACCCACGCATAGGTAAATGCATCTTAAAAGGAACAGGTTCACAAAACAACAATGCATATAAATGCATAAACATCATTAGTACAGGTTTTTCGTTGCATTCCTCGAGAATCAGTGAACCTAAGCACACGTTTTATATAATCCACACTGGCGCACTGTTTACCTTTATTGATTCAATTAGATATAACCGATGTAATCAACAAGATAACGATTACAGCTATTACATAACAACAGGCAATACAATTCAAGCCACGAACAATACACAAGAGACTGCTGCAGTCTATAAAGCCACACTCAAATGTGACCAAAAATGTTCGGACGGCCTCGCTGCCTTCCTGGCCTATTGTTTATCGCGTTTAAATGGACATATTGAATTCGGTAAAGCGCTGTCATAATGGCATGCACAGCGTAGGCTGCGTGTTTACATTGTGTACTGTGGCCAATTCAGCGTTCAGCAACACCACACGCCATGCAGAATGAACACAGCCCTCTTCCGCATGAAATAATCCTTACCTACTCGTTCCAGATTATATACACGGATGCTGTTACATAAAACGTTTACCGTGCTTAAAACGGCCTCAGACGAGTTGCGCACGCGTTATTCTGTCTGCAATCGTTTAATTTCACCACGAGCGATCCGTCTCGCGAACTTCGCAACTTCGGGAATTCCGAGTTTGCGTTTCTCTCCAATGGGACTCCGATACCGTTCCGCTTAAACACTAAACAGCCAATGGGAATAAAGCGTCGTGTCGCGCATACAGACAGCTCATTTCAGCTGTGACTGACAAAGGCAGGTGAAAGTGACAATCTGAACGTGAAGTGCTGTTTTATCGTTGACTTGAGGGGAAGTAAAGACTCCCCACAACATGCATTAACTCCCTATATATAGGGACAAGACATGTTCTCCTCCAGCAGTCTAATGACACGTCTACACAACAAGAGCTAAATCTGTTGGGACTTCCCGAATGCCTGACTGTTACAGCTGGACTGGCCTAAATAAACATCGCTCTTGTGTTGCAACATGTTCTTTTGTAATTAACACATAGCTAAAGCAAATAGATATGTATAAAACATTGCTGTATTATATAAAAGGAAGCAACAAAAAACATAGGCTACTTTAACCCAGTGGTTCCCAACCTTTTTTCCAAGGGACCCTGGAAAAAAAAAATATTTAACGACCACCCACCACCCAAAATCAGTTGTAAAGTTTTTAATAGGCTAAATGAAACAACGGCAGAAACATTAAAATAATTACATTAACAACGATGGCTGATTTTTAAATGGAAAAATAATGTTGGTTGGGTTACTATAACATGTTATCAGTAACATGTATTATGTTAAAATAAAAAAAAAATAAAAAAAAAGAGTTTTATGAAATGATAAACCTTACATTTCAGATTTTAAACCATTTTTAAGAAAAAAAGGATACAAGTCAAATTGATGAATGATTGTATCTGCTCTGGTAATAATTCTAGATACCTTATTATCCGAATTGTTTTGATTTTTAGAATGCACTATAGCTTGTTTTCAATTAACCGGTTAAAATTTACAACAGTACCTAAAATCCGGCTTGACTTTTGCATTGGTTTAAGCAAAAACTGCACTACAGACTGGCTGAATGAAAATGTGAATCCACTGTCTGACTGCAGGTGGCGCTTATGGAACAGCAGAAATAGAGCTGTGTATATGTATGATTCATATGTAAGGGATAGTGTATAATCGGCAAGTCATTACCACAAAAAACTGACAGGTAATCAGGGGTAAAGTTTAGGTTTGGATTCAATTGAACCTGCATGTTATCTTAAAGCTTCACTAAGAAAAACATTCCATTGCAATGTACAAAACACTGCAACAATATTACAACAACTGTGTATTACCAAAGTCCTTTTTTGGTATTACTGAAGTCCTCTGGGTAATTTCATTACAATCATAAGTGAATGAGATGAAATATGTTTTTGAATATAGCTTTGAATTCAGAATCAACTGAATCAATTTGTATTTTTTTAACCTTTTCCTTCTCTTTTTTATTTATTTATTCATTTATTTCATTTATTTATTTTGATGTTTTTTATTTTACCAGTGTTCGGCAATGCAAAGCCTTTTTCCAAACCAATAACGCCACTTGAATCTTGAACAAATTGCTTCGCAAAATTCACTCAATGTTTCCAAGCGTACAAAATAACACATAGCGGCACCAGCTGTTCAAAAAGTTGCAAATGCATCGAAGCCAAAAATTTCACAAAAGTTTTAGTATTAAAGGCACAATATGTAATTTTCGCTGCTGGAGGGCGCGAAATATATAACACTGTTCTAGTGGTTTTTGGATATTTTAATAAAAAAATCTTACATATTGTGCCTTTAAATGTAATTTACAAATAATGTAATGCCATTAAATATGAAGGGTCTGTAAAATCGGTGTTCTTTTATTATGGATTATAATAAATAAATAACCGGAATTATAAAACTGAACCGAGATCAGTTAAATATTTGACACTGTTCATGGGTTCACCAGATCAACGCCATCAGCAGCGAACAGGGGGGATTTTAGAATGTTTCGAAAAGTGTTTCGAAACAAGAGCATGATGTGACTTGGCAAGTCATAAATGTTTCAAAGCTTCATATGTAGCAGAAGCGCCTACGAGAGACAGAAAAAAAAGTGTTGCCATCAACGATGGCAAATATTTGTAAATAGTTATTGTAAAATGATACATAAAGTTATAGTTATAATCAAAGGGTGCATCATTTGTTTTCAGAACAAATACCACTGGTTGATATTTGTCCTAACTAATTAAACTATGAATTAATAAACTAATAAATAAACGAAGGCCTAATAAACTAGCCTAATACGAATTTTAGGTGTAGCTTAAGTGTCTGAATAATTTTTAGGGTCACTACTGTCAAAAACATTAATATTGTATTATTTGTTCTATATATTGTATTATGTCTGGATCTTCTATTCATAACAGCAACATTCAGCTAGGTCTCCTCAGTAGTGCTCCTTTTTAGCATATGGTGACCATAAGACTTCCAGAATGTTCTACTGCCATTACAGAGGGAACTTTTTCAATGCAGGCAACTGGATCATTGAGGAACCACAGAACGATGAGTAATCACTGCAGCTCATTTCAAGTGCTTTGTGCCGTTTCTTTGTGCATACTTTCAGTGAACTTTCCAGAGCCCTTGCCAGTTTTATATTTCAATCTTACTTCTTTGACAGCAAAGAGCAGCTTGTTATAAACCATGCAGAAGGAGATGGTAGACATATGATCACCCTTGAGACTTTAGCTCAACACAAATTTTCATCAGTAGTGCTCCAAGGGAATGAAAGAAAAAATGGCAACACACTCACAGGCTTAAACAGAGAAACATGAAAGATTAGAAGGAAGCAACTGACTCATTTTTAATGGATCACATAAACATGTGGCCAGTGCAAATTTACATCAAGTACAAAGAGTGCTATTGTCACAGAGGATTCATATTATACATGTATAAACATGTATAATATATACATCAAATTAAAAAGAGAGAGAACCTGCTGATTCAATCGATGCCAGAGCTGTCATTTAACACCCGTAACAATCAAAAACAAATTATTAATTCATAGGTCACTCCTCCAACTCCAATGCTATTCCAAAATACTTGACAAAACAATAACAACATATTATTATCATGGCACGTTTTGTTACTGTAACCAGACTCAACAGCTGAATATCAGATATGTTGTAGGCTATTGCTGTTGTTGCATATAGGCTACAAGACACTAGGCAAAAACACACATTTGTGCACACATGAAAAAATGTTAAGATTTTAATCTGTTTTACTTTCATAACGTCTTTCTTCAGACTAGTAGAAAAAAAATGTAAGTGTTTATTTTATTGCACATCTAGCCTATTGCATCCATTTGCATCTTTACATTTCAGTTACAATACATATCTTTAAAGGCAGTTTTCTCAAAATGGTGAACATTTATTTATTTATTATTTTATTTTATTAGATTTTTTTGCCTCTTGTTTGGAAGTAGCTATTTTTTTTATTTATATTTATGGAGCATTAAAATGCATATCCAAATCTCATCTAGTTCAGCAAAATGAAACAATTCGCTTCATCCAATGCTTATGCTATTCTGAACTCTAGAAAAAGTGCAGGTCTTTATTTCTATAAAACAATGAGGCCTTTATGAGACATCAAAAATGCAGATTTTTTTTTTATTACGGAAGATTAAAAAAAAGTGCATTTTTAATTTGATAGTGCAGAATTTGCATATTCAAACATCCTTTTACAAAACGTGTATAGGCCTACAAAAAATTGTCTTTATGTGCTGTGATTAATCAACTGGGGAAGTGGTGTTATCAATTAGTTAATATTTGTATCTATTCATCTGTGGTCTCTTGCCCTAAGAAGTAGACCATCTTGTCATGTTTAGTAGTAGCTGTTCTCAATGGCTCTAGTTTTCTATTTTAGTATCTTTGTTCGTGTGAGATTTGTAAAGTGGGCTTTATTTAGGCTACACAAATATGCATAAACATGTACAGCAAATATTTGAAAACGGCAATGTTTAGATTGATTTGGTTACAGAGAGATTTGTGCATTTGGGAAGGTTTGGCCGGACGTGCCACGTCACACAGCGTGAATCCATCTATTGGTCAAACACAAGCATATGCTGCTCCTTTTTCCTCCCTATGGCAGTTTTACGCCCCAAACAGTAAATAACATTTTTGCCCAATCAGCTTAACAAAGCTCATACCTTCGAGAAACACTTTTATGTTTGTCATATGCATCTTTAATCGGCTTTGCAATCGTTTCTGGCAGTCGTTCCCTTTGTGTTGGTTTCTTTTGCATCACCTCTTTCCACGGCTCAGGGTTCCCACGTCTCGGTGTCTGCCTCCCCGGGGCCGCCGCCACCACCGCCGCCCCTCCAGCTCCACAGCCTCGGGTCCGGTATCATGGGCAGCGGGTTCGGTTCGGTAGACATGTCGGCGGGTCTGGGTCTGTCCAATCCTAGCAACCCGGCGGTTCTGAGAGAGGCAGTGGACGCGGTGGTCCGGAGCTTTGCCAAACACACGCAAGGATACGGCAGGGGTATGTGGGGTGAACATGGACATGTTTTGCACATGAGAGCATAAGGGGCAATGATAAAAAAAATAATATATATTTTTGAAAACAATTAAAATGTAAATGTTAAAAGTGATTAGAAATGTATTCAACGTGTATTCAAATTGTTTTTTATATTCAATTTTATACATTTTAGGGTTTTTTTTATTTAATCACTATCAAAATGGCAGTATTTAAAAAGTAGTTTAAGCATCATATAACAAGTAAAATAAAATATCACATGCACATTAAACACATGAGAGTACAAATCTTTATTTTCACAAATTAGTTTTTGAATAATGAATATCATTAAGTTTTCTTGAGGTTACTTAATTTGAACTGAATTAAACTTACCCTTTCTTAAAAAATTACAAATACGGTAATCTATCTATCTATCTATCTATCTATGTTTTTCAAAGATTTATCATATACATATATGATAAATATATATATACATACACATTGACTTTAAGCCCTCCAAAATATGATTTTTAATTCAGAAATTAAAAACTTGATAATCATAGGAGAGATTCTCATCCTCTGTATGAATGGCATTTTTTATGTATTTTTGAATTATTTAATAGACTAGATCTTGACAAGAAATGTGCCACTTAATTGACCCACATGCAAGATATTTCAAGCAAACACATTCAGAAATGAGTATTGAAACTTCTCACGAATTTGCGTAAAAAAGGGAATTTAATTCATAAAACATAACCTCTGGCGGTGTCTCAGCAGTAACTGAGTTTTGAATCTCATTTCATTCCAAAATGATTAGAAAAAAAACATTTTGTATAAAGCCTATATTTAGAACCATTAAGATTTTTTATTATTTAAATTAAGATGAGAGTCATCAAGAACAACAAACAGGAAAGGCACTGCCTTTTGTTATGAAAATGTCACAGAGCAAAAAAAAAAAAGTGTAATTTTCTTGGAATATATTGTTTTCTTTTGATTTTCAATATATTACCCAGACATGTTCTTCATGAGATGCACTCATGCAGATCCCTAACTAGACAGCATTTTGCAGCACCGTAGGTGTGTATAAACATTCGATTTGAGCACTCCGATTGAGCCCCGACATGCTGACCTAATTACATTAAATGGATTATTGTCGGATAGACTGTTGCCAGTGTTCTTTAGAGGCAGGCTAAGTGTTTTAATCTAGCTCCTAGACACCTCAGACCGTCTGAATGCAACCTCCAAGAAGCTTAGCTTTCATTTGCAGAAGAAAGACCTTTATATATTTGTGCTTGAGTGTTACGTGCGGCTGTGATGATTTTCACATTACTCCTGTCCAAATACACCACCCTTATTTCCTGTTAAAAACTAGTATCTAAGCAATTCCACAACAACAAGCTTCCTTTAAATCAGCCATTCAGTGAGCATGTGCTTTTTCATTTACTGACACAGTCATAGTGAAAGATGAATTTATGAACTTGTTTTGTGAAAGTATTGCTCATCAAATTGTTCCAAACATGTATGAGCTGCTTTCTTCTGTTGAACACACAAGAAGATATTTTGAACCGAACAGTTGCCAGTAGCCATTGTCAGGTTTGGAACAACTTGAGCGTGAGTAAATGATGACAGAATTTTCACTTTTGGGTGAACTCTTTTTAGGCATATTAAACACACCAGACAGACAATTAAACAAAGTTAAAAACTTGATTTTCACCACCGAGGGTCTTTAAGTTTCTTCAACTTGAATAGAATTAGCAAAACTGAAGAATTAGTGCATGATATCAGGTGTTTGATGATATGTGAAATGTGACTGCTGGTGTTTCAAGCCACATTTGAACTCATGAGTCTTAAAATAAACTAGAATGGTGTTGTATACTCTGATCTGATGGTCTTATTCCCACAGTGAATGTCGTGGAGGCCTTGCAGGAGTTCTGGCAGATGAAGCAGTCACGAGGTGCTGACCTGAGGAATGGGGCTCTTGTCGTCTATGAGATGGTCCCATCCAATAACCCCCCTTACATCTGCTACGTCAGTCTCCCTGGGGGAAGTTGCTTCGGGAGTTTTCAGGCAAGCAATATTCTCTTTACATTTTCCAATGCATTTGTCTTGGAACTTCAGATCTTCAGAAATAAATAATTGTGTTTTGGTTGCCATCTGTGTCTGCATATTTTCTGCCTAATGTTTTCTCTTGAGGATCTCTTGGAAATTAATTCTGTGAGCATCTTCAGGATTCGATTACAGTGTGGTTAAATAGCATCTTTGATCTTCTCAGTTCTGCCCGACCAAAGCTGAAGCAAGACGGAGCGCGGCCAAAATAGCCCTAATGAATTCTGTTTTCAATGAGCATCCATCTCGACGCATCACAGATGAGTTCATAGAGAAGAGTGTGTGTGAGGCTCTAGCCTCCTTTAATGTGAGTTCTCACAGTTATCTCAGTTTTTGAGTGGATTTTTGTTCCAGTTAAGAGATCACCCAAAAATTTAAGTTCTTGCTTCATTTACTCTTTTATTTCTTCTGGGGAAGACCATGCAGTTACAATGAATGTGCACTGAAGCTTTTAAAGGGATAGTTTACCCAAAAATGAAAATTCTGTCATTAATTATTCATCCTCATGTCATTCCAAACCCGTAAGACCTTCGTTCGAACACAAATTAAGATATTTTTGATGCATTCCGAGAGCTCTCTGACCTCCCATAGACAGCAATGTAATTACCACGATCAAGGCTCAGAAACGTAGCAAGGAGATCGCTAAAACAATCCATGTGACATCAGTGGTTCAATCGTAATTTTACGAAGCTACGAGAATACTTTTTGTGTGCAGAGAAAACAAAAATAACAACTATATTCAACAATTCGTCTCCTCCGCGTCACCCTATGTTCTATGTCAGCAGCACCGTACGCGGATACTCTGTTTACATTGTTTATGCTTTGATCTGAACGTAAACAACGTATCTGCGTACATACGTTGCATACCATGTTTATGTATGTGAAACTCTCCAAACGGGCGCTATAGGTTGAAAAATTGTTGAATAAAGTCATTATTTCTGTTTTCTTTGCACACAAAAATTATTCTCGTAGCTTTATAACATTACAGTTGAACCACTGATGTCACATGCATTATTTTACCGATCTCCTTGCTACGTTTCTGAGCCTTGATCGTTTAAGGATCCTTGCTGTCTATGGGAGGTCAGAGAGCTCTCGGAATGCATCAAAATATCTTAATTTGTGTTCTGAAGATGAACGAAGGTCTTACAGGTTTGGAACGACATGAGGGTGAGTAATTAATGACAGAATTTTCATTTTTTTGGTGAACTATCCCTTTAAGCTTTGTAAAAATATAAATGCCTTTACTGTCACTTTTGATCAATTCAATGCAATCCTTGCTGAATGAAAGAACTAATTTCTCTCAAATCAAACCCAGAACCTTTGAACAACAGTGTATTGTTGACATTGTTGACCTTTACTCATTTGTACTTACTGTAGGGAAACAGAGAAGAAGCTGATAACCCTAGTACAGGCATCGGTGCTTTTCGGTTCATGTTAGAGTCTAATAAGGGGAAGTCTATGCTAGAGTTCCAGGTAAGTGAGATCATTATTGGACTATATGAAAAGTTGTGAGTAACTGTACATGTGGATTTTAATTTTTAACCTTTTTCTTAGGAACTGATGACAGTTTTCCAGCTTCTCCATTGGAATGGTAGTCTGAAAGCCATGAGAGAAAGGCAATGCTCTCGTCAGGTAAAGACAAATATACTATTTTCAGTAATACATGAGGAGTGATATGTGCCTTCATCTTTTGAAATAAAACAGTTTACTCCACTTTGTAAAAACATGCTGTAACTTTCAGATCTCAAAACTTCCTCCTCACTCCAAAAATACCATTCATTAAAACTATTCTGACATGATCGACCACGTTTACATGGCAACAACAACTATTCTGAGTTCAGAAACTTGGCTGACTAGTCACAGTGAAATAAAAAGAAAGAAGTAGCATAGAAACTATTATTTCAAATAATAGGAAAGTAATGAAAAGTAAAATGTGGGAAAGTTTACCAAACTTTATACTGTCCCTAACAGATTTAGGATCAGAGAGATGCTGCAAAATGCAATAAATAAATAAATAGTTACTTGAAAAAAAAAAGTTTAATAAAATATAAAATAAATAAATAAAATATACAAAAATAAAAAAAGCTAGTTTCCAAGGTGACTGATAATTTGTATTTAGTTTAATTTGATATACTATAATAACTGAAACTAAAATAAAAATGAATTTAAAAAATATAGACATTAAACATTTTTTATAAAAATGACAAAAACACAAACAAGTGCTAAAACTTTAACTAAAATGAAAATGGAAAAAGTAAAACTAAAATGAATTGAAAATATTATAAAAATAACTATAATAGTATCTCAATAATAGTAAAATAACGCTGGCAAAAATGTTCATGAAAACTCAAATATAATTGCATTTTGGCACAAATATATATATATATATTATTTTTTTTTCTTTTTTTATTTGTTATTATTCCCTTGTTAGTTTCTTGTAAATATTTATTTGACCCATTAATATGTTTCACTGACCTGTCTATGGTGTGTATAACAATCAGCCTTTTTTGTAAACAGGAAGTGCTTGCTCATTACTCCCACCGAGCGCTAGACGATGACATGCGTACACAAATGGCCGCCGACTGGGTCAGTCGAGAACACGTTTTATCCGGTACCATCAATCGAGAGATGGCCGCCACCGTGCGCGAGCTGGAAGAGGCCCGTCTGGCAGGACGGGAGCTGCGCTTTTATAAAGAAAAGAAAGACATTCTGCTAATGGCAGTGGGGCAGCTAGGTGGGTCAAACACTACAACTCTGCCCTGCACATGCTGAAGAGTATGAAGACGTGTCAGACGTGGCGTATGATTGTACCAGATAGCACTCCAAAACTCAAAACGGTCTTTTTTAACTTGTGTGTTTGTGTGTGAGGAGGAGTCAAAGAATCAGCATTTTGAATAATTCCACAGACAAAAACGAAGATGAATTATACGTTTCTGTCTTTTTGATTTGAACATGTAAGGCATTTTAAACTTGAACAGAATTAAGCGCTATATTGCTATTATTACTATACTAGTATTATCCTCCAGTGTTATCGGTTGACTGTACTGGCACATGGACCTAATATGCAGAGGTGTAAAGATTTTGAGGCCTTGTTTCTTGACAGATACTCATTCAAAAATGTAGTGAAGTAAAGAGTAAAAGTTGCTAGTATCTTTGATACTCAGTACAACTACAAAGTACCCGAAAAGATACTCAAGTACAGTAACTAATTACATTTACTCCAATACTTTACACCTCTGCTAATATGTCGGGAAAATCCGTTTTGAGGCCTTCTTTGCAGAATCCTATTACATGTGGGCGCTGCTTTTTTTTAAAGCTAATTCGCCAAATCACTGCCTATTCGCTTTTCTTAGGAGATACAGTTGTGTGGTCAAGTCACCTTTATAGCTACAGATTGATCACAGTGATACAGTTGTTTTCAATAGTCTGCATTTACATTCACATAATAGCCTTGCTCATTTATTTGCTACACGTGCTTTTGGGGAATATACAAACCTTTGCTTTGTAATGTTAATCTTAAGTATGTTTATGTAAACACACATTTATACAGTACTTTTAAGTTAACTAAACTTTTCCACAAGAGCCAATTGCCTTAGCATAAATGTTTGCTAAGGAAGCAACCTCACAATGTTTTCATAATACAAAGGTCAGATTTTCTTACACTGTCACTGGTGAGAAATCCTGGCACAGGATTCCTCCAGCCGCCTTCTTACATAGAAAAACTGAATCTGTGCACTCATTACATTGCCTTCTGTTACTTTTGTGATTGTAGAGCAATCATGCTCAAGGCAACACTTTATTTCTACCTCCTTTCTGAAAGCTTTTGTGAACATTTATTAGCATATACGCATACAAGTGCAGATTGGATTAGTGTTGAAGGAATAGTTCACCCAAAAATGAAAATTTGCTGATAATGTACTAACCCTCAAGCTATTCAAGATGTAGATGAGTTTGTTTCTATATCAGAACAGATTTGGAGAAATTTAGCATCACCAATGGAGCCTCTGCAGTGAATGGGTGCCGTCACAAAGAGTCCAAAGAGCTGATAAAAGCATCACAATAATCCACAAATAATCTATAATGTCCATCATATTGATGTCTCTTCAGTGAAAAAGTCATCCCGTCTGAATCAGGAGAGAAATATGCACAAATCAAGCACAGTTTACAAGCCATAACATTTTAAAACAGTTCTAAATAAGTATGCCAGTGGTTTTTCATATGAGAGGACAACAGGAGATGAAATTGTTTTGTTCTGGAGGAAGTGTTATTATGGATTATGGACCCGTATTTTGGTCCGAAGCAACATTTTATAGTTAAAACACCTTAATGATGGATTTGTTCCTTGCAAACATGCAGTTTTTCACTTCACAAGACAGTAATTGATGGACCGGAGTCGTGTGGATTACTTGTGGATTATTGTGATGTTTTTATCAGCTGTTCTGAATCTCATTCTGACGGCACCCATTCACTGCAGAGGATCCATTGGTGAGCAAGTGACGTAATGCTACATTTCTCCAAATCTGTTCTGATGAAGAAATAAGCTCTTCTACTTCTTGGATGATTGGAGAGTGATTAAATTCTAAGCAAATTTGCATTTTTGAGAGAACTATTACTTCAAGATGAGCAATGCTTTGCAATAGGTTGCTTGATTCAGTGCAACAGGAAATAAAACCATATATTGCGTCTTATAGATACTTGTTGGTTTCCCAACTCAAAATGGTCCTTATAGCCTGTACTATGCTTATAAATTAGTTGAAATCATAAATATACAATCAAATATTTTAAAATGTAATCACATTCTTATTCCATCATCATAAATAACTGTATTATAACTGATCATAATGTGTTACTGGGTGAAGTGATGTTGTAAACTTAATTGTTAATGTTTTATCCCAGCCATTTGTTTCAGTATTAGGGGCTACAATATGATGTCACCAGTCAGTTACCTTTCAGATCATTTTAGATCAGAAGAAACGTCAAAGTGTCACCGCTTTCTCCTTGAACTGATTTTTAAAAGACTAGCTGCTAAATCTTGATACTAACATCACAATGATGCTTAATGTAGGATGTGCATGGCGAGAAACATCAATGATTGTCATTAGCCAAACAGATCTGAAAATGTACTTTTAAGGGCTAATTGTAATTATTTGTTTTCCATTGTAGTAGTTTTAACTGCAGAACTGTCTTAATTATTAATTTAAAGCCCTGGAAGCTTATAGGCTGGTATTATAAAAATGGTAATATAGACAGACAGACTGTATTACAGTTCTTTACATGACATAAGAAGAAAGTATAGTTCAATAAACTATGCACCCACAGAGTTTATTGTCGAAATGCAGCTGAATCACTGAAACCTAAAGCCCCCTTTCTTTAAACTTTCATAATGTGCAAGATCACTACAAATTATTTATTAATTTGAGACCATGTATTTTGTGAAATGACAATTAACATTTTGGGAAAGACGCCCATTACTAACAGTACAATTTGCAGTTATATTAATATTTCTTTTTCAGTGTAATTACCACGATTCTGAAAAGAATTTCTGAGTGTTCTCTCAATGTAATTTGTTTGTATTTGTTTGTACTTTGTCATATGATTCCATCATATGCCACTAAAGTGTATTGAAATGTAAACTGCATATACATTGCATATAATTTTATACAATTTGTTGGGTCTTTTCCCTGCTGTTTTTTACTCTCTTGTTTACCAAAATTATTTTTCAAATAGTACTTAAGGTAGTGAAATTGAATCAGTGCATGTGAATACATTTTATACATTCTCGATTTGTTTTGTAGTCTGCCATTTTACATGTTTTATAAGATTTTGATGCGTAGTAAAGCCAGTGTTTTGTTGATTTATATTCTTTACAAATCAATAAAGCAATTTAAAACTTACCCATTTCACAGGCTGTGGTCCATGGAGGTAAATCTTTTTTTTTTTTATAAAAACACAACCACGTCAAACATGTTTCACGGTAAATACATGTAGCCGCTATAGAAGAGACTTTTATTGAGCCAGTTCTTTTATTTTGAAACCGAGTAACTTATAAATATTTGTATATATTTTTTTTTTGTCTGTTTTTTTATAATATAATGCAACAATTTGGAAGACAAGCGTGTTGTACTATATTGGTGTATTAAAGCAAATTCGACTCGTTAAACAAATTGACGTTCTGATATTTTTGTCAGGCAAAATAAACAACCACCCTTCTAGGGGTCCTGTAACATCCCATCGCATTTCATGTGCTTGGGGAATGCAATGACAAACCCACAGAAGAAGAAAGCAATGACAGTTTGTGAGACATAAGTGCTGAAATATATGTGAATTTTGACAGAGTATTTATGCTATGTTACGGTTGGTGGCTATGATTAATATTTCCAAATAAATAAATTCATTAATCTTCTATCGTTAGGTCTGTAGTAATCATGTGGGCGGTCGCATCATCAAGGTTTGTCCTTCAAAACTGCTGGAATCTTACAAATCTAAAATCTTCCTGGAGTCGAATACAGAATCTGTCACAAACAGCATGCAAGGTAAGCGGCAGGAAAACAACTGATCTAAATTAAAAACGCAATGGCAATCATAGTGCTGTTTTGCAATTAAGAATACATGATTTCTTCTGACTATTATTATTGTGACGTCGTCTTGCCAAGTTGCAAATAAGAATTTTTTTATGATCTCTTTAAATGATTGATGACTTAAAACAGATACACACATATACTGTATGTATGTATTTGTGTGTGTGTGTGTGTGTGTGTGTGTGTGTGTATAAACCTGCCTGGCACTATGTGAAAAAGTAATTGCCCCCTAAATCTAATAACTGGTTGTGCCACCCTTTGCCGCAACAACTGCAATCAAGCGTTTGTGATAACTCGCAATGAGTCTCACATCGCTGTGAAGGAATTTTGGCCCACTCTTCTTTGCAAAGTTGTTTTAATTCAGCCACATTGGAGGGTTTTCGAGCAGTTTAAGGTCATGCCACAACATCTTAATCAGATTTAAGCCTGGACTTGGACTTGGCCACTCCAAAACCTTAATTCAGTTTTTCTTGAGCCATTCAGAGGTGGACTTGCTGGTGTGTTTGGGATCATTGTCCTGCTACATAACCCAAGTGCGCTTGAGCTTGAGGTCACAAACTGATGGCCGGACATTCTCCTTCAGAATTTTTTGGTAAACAGCAGAATTCATGGTTCCATTTATCACAGCAAGTCTTCCAGGTCCTGAAGCAGCAAAACAGCCCCAGACCATCACACTACCACCACCATATTTTACTGTTGGTATGATGTTCTT